TATATATATATATATATATATATATACTTACACACACAGATATATATATATATATTTTCTTTTTCTTATTTGAATTTGTAGGTCTGATGAATTGGATCGTGATTATGATTCAATGTAATAAATTATAACCATGGAATATTATTGTTTGAGCTTTATATATATATATATATATATATATATATATATATATATATATATATATATATATATATATATATATATATATAGCTGCCTACTTGTATTCGAGGATATCCATCAACCAGGGCGGCTGGTCAATCCCTATTGCAGATTCTCGCTCTTTGTTCAACACCCACAGAGCCAAGCTGTGGTTTATACTGTAACTATGCTGAGCAGACCTTAGTTACAGTTTCTAGGAGAGAATAATAAAAAATCTGAACACCACCAGACCATTCAAACCTTCGGTCACTTATTTCCGTCAACCCAATTTTACTCAGAAGGCTTTGGGTGCGGTTTTCAGGCACTAGCAATTAACGCTGGGATCGTCCCTTCCTCGAGACAAATCGACCATGGTGAGATTCTAACCCAGGTTCTATGGTAAGTAAGCGAACGTTCTCACCACTCAGCCACGCGCACACACACACACACACACACACACACACACACACACACACACACACACACATTATATATATATATATATATATATATATATATATATATATTTGAGGATCTTAGTTAACAGCAAAGTAACAAAACGGAAGAAAGAGTGTTCCATTAGTAAGATGTACGAGGAAAGAAACTAGCAGCATAGAACTTTCAGTTAAATCTAGCAATTTCAGAAGTAGGAGGAGATGACCAAGCTGCCAATCAAGTAATACGCTTAAATTCGTGAAGTCGAAATAAAAAAATGGTAAGCACATCAGAGCAGTTGTCATGAAACACAGAAAAGTTACAGTACATATATGTTACGGCTGTTGAGGAAGTGAGATGCCAGGTAATATTGCAGATTCTACTTTGGCTAGAATCTTGAGATATATCGCAGGAGTATCAAACCAGATGTGGAAGCAATATTTAATGCAGGGACGTGCAAGATTCATTCTGGCAAGAAAGACTTTTCTAGCAGCAGACTTAGCAATTGATTAAAATATTTATAGAAAAGGTACAGGGAAGTTATGTTAGGGCGGTAGGAAAGTAACTGATACGGAGTTGCCAGGTCACGACCGTTGACACTGCAGATTCTTCGTGGGATTTGCTTACAAATCTTTAGAGAGAAAGCATGATCAGCGAACCAGATGTGGTAATAGATTCCCGGATTTTCGATGCGCCTTCTGCCGCAGCGGCGATGACACTGAGGATGAAGTACCTCCCCCGCGTAGTGACAACAATGAGGACGGAGCACAGAAGGAAACGCCTGACCCTTCATATTGGTGCTGTGATCAGGAGATCAGAGGGGAGTGTAACAGAGAATCGCATCAACCTGATTAAAGACTCAGAGTTGGTTGGATGTGGTGGTGTAAACACCAGGAGTTGCGTTATCTTCCACAATGGGCTGTTGAGAGAAGACCTTCTACTTAGAGTAGGTGGCGCTAACTAATTGCATATGAACGATACTGGCCAGATATTAGCCAATAGTCAGTGAGTGGGTCGGTGGGCTGCTCGGATTGGATAGCCCAGTTGGAATTCCAGTCGGATCCATTACATTCACTTACGTATTAAGACCCTTGGGAAAAGTATGAACCCTCTTCTCCTTCCAGCTATGGGTAAATAGCAGGTCAGACCGAGTTCTATAGCCTTGGGTGGCAACTGGCAAAGAAATGGCAACCTACTGCGGGAAAAATCTGAATAAGCGTGTATCATGCATGGCACATAATTGACTGACAGTCTGGGTCTGGATCTGGGTGAGAAAAAACCTGTTTTTTTCTCAGTCCAGGGAGGCGCTCTCAACGTGCGAAAACCAGACAAGAGGAACACATATCCAATGCAAGGACGAATTATAGACTTATAAACATGCAATATTGATTATGGCAAGAAAAACTACCTCACCCGACACGGTGAAGCAGTAGAATTAGTAATTGATTGAATAATAATCATTCCCCTTCATGTCAATGTAATGCGTGAGACTGGGAAGGCACAATAACTTGAACAATTACGATGGAAATACTTACAGAAAAGGTACAGGAAAGCTATGTTATTACGGTGTGAAAGTGATTGCCAGGTCACGACAGTTGATAATGCAGATTCTTCAATGGATTTTGTTAACAAACTCTAGATATATCATCATCATTCTTTGACCTCCACTGACAATCCAAGGGAAAGTTAATTTTCGTGAGAAGACACTTCCTGAAGGATAAAATAGGAGTAAAAAGATGAGACTATTTCCCTGTCCGCTCGTTGGCAGTGGTCGGTAAACTGTAATCATTTTTGCCTTTAGCCTCGGGTGGCAGTCTTTCTAGAGATGATGTCTCGACAAAAACACCCGGTTGTAGGGTTGGCGTCCCAGTTTTGTATCAGTTACCGAAAGAACTAGATATATAGCAGAAGCATCGAACCAGAGGCGGTAGCAATATTCAGCGGAATGGTTAGAATATTACTGTAATAAATAACATAATACACAAATGAATAAAAAACGTAGGAAATAACGAAATAAAGCATTAGATAAAAGTGGAAGTAAAAATAATTAAAAAAAAAAAAGGAATGTAAAAAGTACGATTGTTAGATGAAGCAAGATATTGCGTTCGCCATCTTTTTTTTTCTTGAAAAAGAAAAAAAGAACACAAAAAACCCCCGTGCGCAGGAAATAATATTCAACAATCTACGACACGAGAGACGACGTGTGAAAGCGGGTCTTCTGTCAACGATAAGCCCCTATATCCAACGTAGTTCTTCCAACCTTCATCCTCTTTCTTCACCTTTAAAGTCGGACGTGCCACCGAAAACCGTCGCTTACGATTGGATTGCTACGAGGTGATGACGTAGACCGCTTCACCGAAGTGCTTCGAGCTGGTTCTAATCAGAACGAGGCGAAAAAAGATACAAAACAGAGAATGAGAAACTACAACCTTACATAAAAAGCGACATTCTCAACTTAATAACCTTAAACAGAGACGCAAACATCTCCGGTAAAATAAATAAATAAAAATTAGACAGGAATGAAGAAATTGTATCGCATGCAAGTGAAGAACGCCTTTTTGTTTGTTTTGCACTTCTGATCAGAATTCTGCCAAAAGAAGGGTGCGGAATAAAAAGAATGAGAAGTCAGATCCGGGAAGGGCGAGTTATATAATGCAAACAGGCAACAACAGGGTCATTAAAGAAAAAAAAAAGAAAAAGGGGCAACGGCGTAGGGGTCCATGCAGATTAAATATGGCCTTGAAAAGTTTCTTCTTCTATGTGCCCTGTCTCTTCATAACATGGTCGATCATAGCTCTCCACAACTTACTATTCTTTGCAGCTCTTAGTAAAGTTTGACTTTTCATTATCTCACCTAATTCCTATTCTGCCATCTATTTACACAATCTCCTTAGGAAGGTTACTCTATGCTTTCTTTGGACTTTCCCGCCTTCGCTATCTGATTCACTAAATGTATAAAAGCATAAGCTGAAATGATCAAGTAGTCTATTCATTGATTGATTGATTTTTCACGGTTTATCGATCCTTTTGAAGTTTATTTAAAAATAGAAATTATTTTAGATTGCAAAAGATTTTTTTGTGAATTATGAAATATATTTTATACTTTTGTTTCTAAATCAGATTAAAGATCGTGCCTTAACTCATCATGTCGGTTTCTAAAGATATCGCGTCTTCACACTTCATTTTGTTTCACGCCATTTCGTTTTGCTGATTTTTAGTTATAAATTTTTTGTTTGTTTTGGACTTCTGTATCAGAATTCTGCCAAAAGAAGGGTTCGGAATATAAAGAATAAGAAGTCTAATCCGTGAAGGGCGAGTTATATGATTCAAACAGGCAACAACTGGGTCATTAAGGAAAAAATGAAAAGGGGGCAACGGCGTAGAGGTCCATGCAGATCAAATAGCGCCTTGAAGAGTTTCTTCTTCTATGTGTCCTGTCTCTTCATAACATGGTCGATCATGGCTCTCCACAACTTCCTATTCTTTGTAGCTCTTAGTAAGATTGGATTTTTCCTTATCTCTCCTAATCCCTGTTCTGCTATTCATTTACACAATCTCCTCAGGAAAGTTACTTTCTGTTTTCCTCTGACTTTTCCGCCTTCACTATCTGATTCGCTGAAGGTATAAATTAAAGCATAGGCAGAAATGATCAAGTAGTCTATTGATTAATTGATTCGTTTTTCACGGCTTATCAAACCTTTCTCTTTTAAAAAAGAGGAAATATTTTAGATTGTAAAAATAATTTTTGAGATAATAATAATTTAAGTATACAAGTCTTACTAATTAATCTATAACCGGCGGAAATTGGAGGATTCATGTCTTTCCCTTACGGTCAAATCACGCTGAAACACCGGTTCTCGTTCGATCACCGAAGTTAAGCATCGTAGAGCCAGGTCAGTACTTAGATGGGGGACCGCTTGGGAACACCTGGTACTGTAAGCCCCCAAAGTCCAACCCTTACCTCACAGTCGGTGGGGGGGATGTAAACGGTAGTGTCAGAGCTATGCCGCCCGGAACTTCGTTCCTGGTAGGGCCACCCAAGGTGGACAGTTCTGACACACACGCCGGCTAACAAGGGCTCTGGTGAAAATCCAAGGAGCGTCTGCATCGGTAACCGGCGGCTTCTGGTCGTTCCTGTCTCTGCGTCTGTGGGAACCCCGCGGCAAGCAAGAACGTTATCCGAGTAGGCCTGGGTACCCTACTTCTGTAATTTATCCCAAGAATCTTCTTCTCATAACAGGAAGAAGCCGGCTCAATCCGCCCAGGGTGAATGCCGCATCAGTACAGTACAGTAGTAGTACAATGGTATTTGCGAGTAAGTGAATATAACGAACCCAACAGGAATTGGAACTCGGCTCTCCGATTAAAAATTCTAAGCCGTTATCCATTACACCACCCGTACATCTGAGCTTACAGCACCTGGTATTTCAAAGCGGTCACCCATTTAGGTACTGACCAGGTTCGACGTTGGTTAACTTCTGTGATCGTACGGGTACCGATGTTTCAACGTGATACGGTCGTAAGTACATCAAGTAGTTTAAATTCCTACCAACGAAACCCACATTCAGGAGAAAGAAAACATATTTCAAACCGTAATGCTTCGGTTAGTTCGCGTAATACTTCTAACGATTTTCTTGCAGGTACATAATTTAAATTATACCATGAAAGCAGACATATTTATTAAAAAAAAAGGGGGAAATAGACGTGAAGACAAAAATACAATTATGATAGTGATGAGGCAAAGAAAATATACATAAAGAAAAGGGTAGAAAAAAATTAGCAAAAGCTGACTTGTTCTCGTTCCTCTCTCGTCAGAGGCCGATCGAGGAAAGATTGAGCAATAGGACTAAAAAAAAAAAGGGGGAGATTGAGGATACAAAAAATACGTATATTAATAATATACTAACTTATACTTATATCACAATATAAATAACCTCAATCGATTGTTTACTGGGGCAACCTTCAATTTGTTGTTTACTGGCTGGTCAATTTTAACACTTCCAAAATAAAAGTGTTCTCTTTTTAATCACATGAGAGAACCTTATTTACCTTCCACCAGCATGACTGATGCTAACCGCCATAAAAGTGAGTAATTGAGCCTTCTCGGACTAACTAATAACATGAAATGGAACGATTATATTGAATCAATTCCTGGTTTTAATGCGAGAAAAGTTGGTTCACTGTGTCGTGCTAGAAATTTTTTTTCGCTCGAATCTATCTTATATATAAAAAAGAAACACTTAGAAAAAGCTGACTGGATCTCGTTCCTTTCTCGTCAGATCCCGATAGAGGAAAGATTGAACACTAGGATGAAAAAAGGTGAAGATTGAGGATATAAAAACACGTATATTAATGATATACTAATGTATATTTATATCACAATCTCATGATATAGAGACTCAACAAATATGATCTCATAAATAAGCTTCAATCTGTTGTTTACTGGGGCAAGAAATGGATTGTTAATTTGAACACATCCAAAACAAAAGTGTTCTCTTTTAATCGTCTGCGAGAACATTATTTGTCTTCCATCAGCGTGGATGATGCTAACCTCCATGATAGTGAGTAATTGGGACTTTTCGGACTAACATTTCCGACTGACAGAACGATTATATCGAATCCATTGGTAGGTCTGCTGCTAGGAAAGTTGGTTCGCTGTATCGAGCTAGACAGCTTTTTTTTTCGCTCGAATCTATCTTATATGTCTATAAGTCTAACATTCTTTCAAGCATTGAATATTTTCTTATATAGGAATAAAATGTCAGTGAGCAAACACAGGCGATCCCATAATTGAATTAAGTGGTCCACGTGACCATAGAGGAAAAGCATAAGTAGGAAGTCGCGTGGCGTCTAATTGATGGCTTTTTCTCCTCTCTCCTCTATTACTTTACGGACCATAATTCTCTATTCTCTTCTCTACACGGATCAATACGGTGGTTACTATTCGAGCGAATATTATGGAGTAAGCACTATTAGTGCGAGTGACATTCGAAGGCGTCTGGCACCAGTATTGCTCAACAGCGTTACTACAGTTGTATCTGCGATTACTTCATCTGCCGACACTTGAGTTTGAACACAGCTCGCCAGTGAACAAACACAAGCGATCCCATTATTGAATTAAGTAGACCACGTGACCATAGAGAAAACACATATGTAGGAAGTAGTTGACGACTAACGGTCGCTATTTCTAGTCTACCCTCTATTGCTATACGGATCGCTATTCTCTACTCTATCCACTATGCTATTTCCCTATTCAGATCACTATACGGATTACTATTCGAGCGATTATTATCGAGCAAGTACTATTAGTGCGAGTGATATTCGAAGGCATCTGACACCAGCATTGTTCAACGGCGCACTATAGTGGTATCTGCGATTACAAAGTCTCTACTACAACGAGCATTTACGACATTGGCAGTGAGTATTTGTTTGTATTACAAAAGTTTCAACGAGTGTTCGTTGACATCACAGAAATATTACTGTCAAATTTGACCTGGTCTTTCCGCTATGTATTTAGAGCTTCTATGATGAAATTAAGAAAATCTGCACTGTTATCCGTCCTAACATGTCATCTCAGCTTCAGTTACTTTCCTAACCACGAAGTTTTCCTTTGAAGTTTCAATAAATATTTTCATGCTAACTATTCTGATAAACTTTCCTAATTGGTACTTTGACTTTACGAATTTAAGCACAGTACTAGATTGTCAGCTAAGCCTCATCATTTTACATTTGAAATGGTTAAATATAGCCGTTACTTCTATGCCAACAGTTTCTTCTCTCGCACTTCTCGCTTGTGGAACACTCTTCAGGCTTCTTGCTTTCCAGTCAACATTGATCTTCAGAAATTTAATGTCAATCGCCAGCTTCTGTCTCTTTGAATCCTGTTTTTTTATTGCCATCTCTTGTTATTTTTTTCTCACATTATTTCACACTCAGTAACCCCCCTTGTAACTTAGTGGCTTTATCGCCTTTCTTGGTATGAATTGTTTAAAAAAATCGTTTTGTTTACTTAAAGAAGGTTGCTAGATTTGATAAAAAAAAATAATCTCCAGAACTTTCAGATTGGCGTTCCTTAATCCATGTTTGCCAGAACTCAGCCGTCATGTCGTTGAGAGAGCTGCTCTATCCCCGACTCGCCTCTCTGATGACGGTCAATCCTAAGAGGACGGTAGTGGTTTCACATTCTTCTGTAGAGGCAGGAAAGCAAACAAATGAAGAGATGCTGGTGTAGGGTTTGTTGGTCGAATGAACGCAGTGTCTCGCTTGAGCGAGTGACCACGCGGTGTAAGCGATAGGCTTATGACACGTCGCTTGCACCTTGACATCATGTATGTATATATGACCATATAGGTGATACGCATGAACTCACTTTTGATACTAGTGGCAGGATTTGCCTGAGTAAAGCAGGGAAATTAAGTTATATTATACTCAGTACCAATCAACTACAAAATGGAATCAAGTACTGGGAATTCATGCCAATTTTATGGAAACATTTGCATGTCAGATGGTGAGCTGAAAAGACATGAAATAAGGCTAACGAAAACAAAAATGTGTTTTTCATGTCTACCAGCATTATGTTATACGTTTTAAAACTCTGTCCTGTGTAGAAGTGGTTCGCTGGTCGGATTCCAATCGAGTTCATTATATTCACTTAAGTGTTAACCTTGGGAAAAGCATGTATCCAACTCTTGTCTCCCTCCATAGCTATACGTAAAATAGAAGAGCAGACTTTGTCCTTGATTGGCAAAGAGTCTAGAAGAAGAAATCTCCGAAACTCTCAAACCACCTGTTGCTTTGTAGGTCCTGCCTCTTTAGGGAAAGGCTAGATGAAGTTAACTTCAGAAACAAGGGGATGGACGGGATAAACTGAACATCCCCGGTGCAAAATGAACCGGCAAGGCATTGCACTATTGTTCAAAAATATTCCTAAGAAATTCCTCCTGCAGAGAAACATCCCTGCCTCCCATTAGAATGTCTGACGCTCAACTCCACGAGAGCACCTCCTTGCGACTGCGCGGTCTCACACTGTCTGCTGACATGAGATGGAACAATTACATTGAGTCACTAGCTTCGTCCACCGCAAGAAAAGTTGGCTCCCTGTGCCGCGCCACGAAATTTTTCTCGCCAGAGTCAATCCTTCAAATCTACAAATCAACCATTCGTCCTTACATGGAGTTTTGCTACCATATATGGTCTGGAGCCCTTTCTGTTTGTCTCAAGCTCCTTGATGAAATCCAAAGACGGATATTCAATGTAATTGTCCCTGATCTGGCATCTCTTCTGCAGCCGCTCTATCACAGACGTGCCGTTGCCTCCCTCTGTCTTTTTTACAAATACTTTCACGGTAACTGCTCCGATGAGCTGCTTTCGCAGACTTCATGAATTTAAGCGTTGAACTTTTCTGGCATCTCGCTCTCACCCATTCACTGTTGAAACTGTTAAACGTAACAGTCTCTTCTATTCCAATAGCTTCATGTCTCGCCCGTAGACCCCCCCCCATTTCTCGTTTCCCTGATAGCTACAATCTCCAACTATTCAAATGTAATGTCAATCGACGTCTCCAGATGCCCTGATCTTTTCCCTATCCTTCTCTTCATCCTTTCCTCTATCGCTCCTCCTTGCTCTCATCGCAACTCTCTGTTACCCCTTGCGTGCTAGTGGCTTCCTGCCTTGCTTGGGGGGATTCGCTTAAATAAAAAAAAATAATGTTGTTTATGAATTCCTTTGTCCTTTGGGAGATTGTATCGCCAATATTAAAAACCAACCACAGCATTAAATTCTTACATTGGCCACATATGAACCACACTGTCTCGTAGGTTGACCATACAAAATTTAGTAAAATTCGCTCATATATCACATATCACAAATAGTCATAACATTAAGATAAAGCAAATTTTTATATATAGTGGATTCACCCAACATATGAAGGTAGATCAGCTCAGGATCGAACAGCCAGACGACCCGAACCTATGATTTGATTATTGGGATGAACGCTTTTTGGAAGTGCCTAATACATACATTGTGTGCCACAAAGTCCCCGACCGACCCTACTCAGGTTTTGAATTCAGATTTGTCATTCTAAACCAGTTTCCACCCAAGGCTGTAGAACCCCAGTCTGTTCTGCTATTTGCCCATGGTTCTTGGAATGTGATCTATTCAGAGATTACATCAAGGAATTTGCACGAAAGTGAAAGTAATGTACTCGACTTGGTTCTCTGATTCCCCAGTCCGAGCCAGTATCCTTTACTCTAACTTGCATCGATATTATATATCATTAAAAATCCGTGGGTAAGTAATCCAAGTAGATCCTAATGATATAAAATATTAAAACTGGTCCACAAAAGAGAGCTCAATATATTTACTATAAAGCATATAAATGAATTGCATGAAAATGAAAATCTATTACGACATTCAGATGGCCATTTCACCCCTGGGATATTCTCCCTGGAGCTTGTCAATGCAAAAAGTTTGTTAAAAAGTGAATTTTAACGGTTTTTTTTTTCTTTTTTTAATAAAAATTAAA